TTTTAAAGTTCGATGACTTGGTGGAAACTTTGGCCAAAGTTCAGTGACTAATGGGGTAATTAACCCTAAAATTGGAGTTGATTCGGAGCAATTGATGATCAACCAATTGCAATTGTTCAATATAAAGAGCTAAGGGAGCTAAGGGAGCAATTGCAGGAAATAATAAGTTTTGCGAGTTAAATCCAATATTTGAAAAGTCTGGGGTTATTACAAAATTTTAGAACTTAAGCCAGATCAATTTCGGCCGATTGTGGAATGGGAAGGATTAAATTGTTATGTTTTAAAGAAGAAGGACTAAAAATGCAATTAAAAGGACTTGAGCTGAACATAAATCCAGAGACCAATTTGAAGTTGGCCAAAAAATTGAGGCTTGCGATCACAAGCGTTGGAATCTGCGGAAAATATTCAAATTTTAGATGATATGAAATTGTCCAATAAACCTTACACCGCAGATTCCAACGCTTGTGATCTAAAGCCTCATTTTTTTTGAATCTGCGGTGTAAGGTTTATTGGACAATTTCATATCATCTAAAATTTGAATATTTTATTGGACAAATTTCATATCATCCAAAAATTGTTGTTAAACATAGTATAGTACTCTGTTTTTACAATTTAGTCCATGTTTGATTTGGTTCATATTTCTTAAAAGTCATTTATCACTAAATTCATTTTCAACCATATCTTTAATGAGATCAATAACTTTTATAAAATTATCAATTACAAATTCATCGAATTTTATAAAATAAAATAAAATAACCTACAGGAATCTATGGTACGCAAAGTGTTACGTGTGTAATTTATAATATGGTAAACAAATGTATTTTTCATTGTAACTTTCTCATATATACATTTATTTTCTCGATACAGAATCCCAATTTTTCATACTAGTATATACACAGAATAATTATATTGTCATCTATAGTAAAGGAGTCGATAATTTAAAACAATTACTCAAATCATTTTGAATAATCCAAACTTTTATCGAATTTTAATGAAAATCATCCTAATTTCTCCCAAGTTGTTGAGTGCAGTTCTTACACAAACACAAAGATAAAAATAGGGTATAAACCGCAACTATTATAAAAATAAAAATTTTATTAATTATTCAGTAGAACATCACAGTAGGGGATTTATGCACCCCTTTTATTACCAACTATACAGTTTTTTCAGGGCATTAGGAACGGGAGGGATTTCATTATCATAATAGAACCCATCTTCCTTGACATACCACCATGCACTGCCAAAATGTGCATATTTATAATTAAAAACTTCAAAGGCTCTATTCTTTGAACCCCACCAAAAGCGACAAAAGAACATAGTAGTTTGAAGAAAATTCATGTAGAAATGCCAATGAAAATCATTATTCACATAAAGTGTGTGATTTCCAAGATCATTATCTTTCGATGCACAATGAACTAATAATGGAGGTGTATTTTTTGGAAGATTGTTAATAACATGAACATTATATCCTGTTTTTATGCTTTTGGTGAGAATGAGGTTGAATGATAGTAAAAGTAAATAGAAAAACAACTTCTTTGTAATTGAAGTCATTTTTTGATTATACTTGCATGCATCTGATGCTACCATTATATAGTGTGCTGTCTTGCACTCCAGATGTAAGGTATTACTATAATCTAATTACAGATTGTAAAAGTAGCGAAAGATTACAAGTAATAGCTTGTAACCTCATGTATATTTTATGGATCTAAATGAATTATGTAAATTCATCAAACTGATTACTCTATTTTTGTTGTTAACTGCTGCAATTGTATTGTGCATTATTACCGTAATCTAAATTTTTGGTTGAAAAATCTAGAAAAAGATTACATATTCGCTTATAATCTCATAAAAAGATTACAGACTTCGCTACAAGTACAGGGCATTTTCACATGAGTGGTGGGTGGTTAGTTTCACAGGCTACTCACATGTAGGGGGTGGGTGCATTTTTTTTACAATTTTTTATACATGTGTGGGGCCCACACTTGTGAGGGGGTGGTAAACCACCTGTGAAACTATCCCTGTACTTCGGGATTTATCCAAAGATTGTTGAGTTTAGAGGCTCAAAATAAAAGTTTATTAATGAAATTGATTTTACAATTTTGGATACACACTAGACAAGAACCACCAAATGACACTATCTAATATTATATAAATATTTTCTCTCTCCAGCACACTCTCTCACTACACTCTTTCTTCACTTGCACACTCTATCTAACACACATGCACTCTCTCTAACACTCTCTTCTACTACTCTCAAATACATACAGCTGCATACATATATATAGGTAGCATAGTCGGTGGTCTCCTCCTCTCCATAATTCTAGATAATTCTTTAATGGCGGTGGAAGCTAGAAAGCTCTAGAATGAAGTTGGTTCCTGCTCCTCCTTGATTTTTCTAGTATGTCGGCTGCTATGGAATTCTCTAGAAAGTTGGTGATGATTCTTCAATTCTCCCCTTCAACACCAACTTTTCATTTTGACTCTTTTCTTCTTATAATTCCAAGTTGTGCTCGAAACTCTTCGAATTTTGAAGTGCTGAGTCCTTTCGTTAAAATATCTGCGACTTGTTCTTCAGTATTGATGTGTTTCAAGTCGATCTCCCCTTTAAGTACCTTCTCTCTAACAAAGTGATAGTGCACTTCAACATGCTTCATTCTTGCGTGGCAAACTGGATTTTCTGCTATACGAATAGTTGATTGATTATCACAATATAATTGCGTATAGCTTACTGGTTGATGTAAATCCTTCATTAATTGTG